GAAATACCATGGTACCATGTTTAAATCATGTTTGATAAAGCATGATTTTATCATGGTATTTTTTGATTATTAAAGGAACGGGGATAACAACAGTGACATAAATTTAGAAAGCGGTAAGCAAAAACAACAAAACAAGAATAAGGGAAAACAACAATATAGTGCAATAGTGCAACAGTAGGGTTCCAGAAGTATTTTCTCCATAGTGGAATTGATCATAACAATAACTTACAAGACTTACGTTATGTGGTTGTTAATCATTGGGATATGCTTTATTTCAGCATATTTTTCAAATAATCATGTTTAACAGCAGGAATCTTGGTAACTACATTACCCATGAAAACAAGGGCAGTGTTCATTTTATTTTTTTTATTACAGATTTTTAAATAAATTTATGTATTGTTAAATATACTGTTTCTATATATCACCAACATCTATAGGCCTAATAGTTTTATATCTGTCCATTGTTTTTAATTTATGTCATTCAAATCAAAAAGATGTGAGATCACTGCGCTCATCCAAATACAATCAATAAAAATCATAATGAACTTAACGGAATTTATGATTTATGTCATTCGCAAATGCCTCATGGGACTGCTGTTCTTTACACAGTCTCGTGCCTTTATCTTTTGTCAGATTTTATTTATTTTGTGTTTCAAATTAAATGTTGTAATTTGATTCCCCTTGTAGCTGGTTGGTTTGGTTCATGACCTATAATGGTGTTTTAAATACCTTCTAAAATACTTCCAAAACCAAGGCCACTGAAAAAGTGGGCAGCACTTCTGAACTTGACAGTTACTGACACAATGGTACTACTGTAGGCTTTTTTTGGACAAGATATCAATATATCACATAACTAGGGATGCACGATATATCGGCCACCATATCGGTATCGGCCGATAAATGCTCATTTTTTCTGTTATCGGTATCGGCCAAAATTTTCATATCGGTGCATCCCTACACATAACATTCATTTTAGTACGAATAACATGGTAATAGCACCTGATATCATGGTATCAACACAGTACAGATACCTCTACTACACTTACGAGCATCACAGGCGCGTTTGTGCGTTCAATTCATGCTAATGATGTCCAAAAAATGCAGTCTAGTTAGGCAGTGCACTGGGTTTTAAAAGCCAGTACACACAGAGCTGTATACGTTACAGACATAACGCATCAATGCCAAATCTTCAGACATAATCAATCTATCATTTTGAGAAAGAGATAAAAAGAAAAGTGGTTTTACATATAAAGACTAAATGACTATAAGTTATATAATACATAACCTGCTGTCTGAAACAGAAGCGACCGGTTTTGCATAAAGCGAGCTAGTAAACGGCTCCAGTTAATGTGTGACTACTGATTAGAACACAACCAATAACACATTCAAAGTTGAATATCCCAAGGTATATCTCGTTAGTATATGTGCAGATAACTTACACACTTATAAGCAGCTGCGAAAATCCCGTATAGCAGTGTTCGGTCTGCCTGTGTTGTTGGACTTTCAGCCCATCTCCCACAAACTTCCGACGGTCTGCCTATCCCGCATCCGCAACTGACGGGTGGAGAGCGGAATTGCAATTCCCACTATAACCAGGGTTTAGGTCATGAATATTAATTAGTTAATGCTGACGTCGCTAGGAAACCTTCCTAGAGCGTCCAATCACGTTTCTGTATTAATAAACATGAGCCAAGCCTTCGCTGCAGTTGGATTCGAGAGTGCGTCAACTGACTAACGCCCGCGTTCCTATGTCTGCATCGAGGCAATCAAGTTGGCGTCTGTCAGCGGATATGATTAATATTCATGAGCCCCACCTTCACCATAGTAGGTTTCACAAAATAACGAATGAAGGCGAAAAAGGCCCAGTTCTTTTCCGGATATGGAGAAAAGGACGATGGGAATTGTAGTGATAAATAGAATGGCTGCTGTTCAGTGTGATTATGTGTAGGTTACTTTTGATCCTCTTTTCTGAAATAGTTTTATTGCAGTCAAGTATATTCGAATGTGCTGGTTTCATTATTTTCAATGCTGAAAACAGTTGTGTAAACTGTGATACTCTGTCATTCAAAAGTTTGGGATAAATGAAAAAAAAAAAGAAAACAGTTTTCACAAAAATATTAAGCAGCATAACATTGATAAATATAAGAACTATTATTTAATAACTGAGCACCAAATCAACATAATTAGAATGATTTCTGACTGGAGTAATGGCTGTTGTTGTTGTTTTTCATTAGTTCACAATATTACTGTTTTTGTTGAATTTTTACTTTTTACAACTGTAAAGCTTTTAAAACTTTGGTGAGCATAAGACACTTCTTTCGAAATCAATCAATCAATCAAACGAACAAACAAAAGCTAATTATTCCAAACTTTTGACCATTAGTGTATAATAGTATACATACTTCCACAGTGTGTATAAATGTTCAGTTCATACCTTTCGATGCTATATGTGACTGAAGAGAAGAGGCTGAAGAAGGAAATAGTGCTGTATTATGGGAAATCCCCCTGGATGCTCTCTCCTAGTGTTTTATTGTTTGAGATTTCAGCAAAGGTTATTAGAGGTTATAGTGACCTGCATTCAGACTACATGTATTGAGATTAAAAACTGGTCCAAACACAAGACATTTTTATGTCTCTAATCACAAAATTAATATATAACATTTAATGCATTTGTAGCAGTTTGAACAATGCATGCATAGTGTTTTTATGCAAGGCTAAAAACTTGGACAAATTGTTACAATACATAAATTGTTAACAATACATAAGCTCTGTTTTCTATGGAAGCCTGTTTCCACCATAGAATAAATCAATAATAAAATAAATAAATGCTACTTTTTATCTCACAATTCAGACTTTTTTTTCTCGCAATCCTGTGTTTATATCTCACAATTCTTATTTGTTTTCTATGAATTCTGAGTTTACGTTTTGCAATTATTACTTTTTTTAATAACAAAGGTCTATTGCAACTTTTTATTTCACAATTTGAACTTTTTTAGTTCAAATTTGAGTTTAGATCGCACAATTTGGACTTTTCTTCTCAGAATTGCACGTTTGCATCTCACAATTGCGGGTTAACAGCTTGAAATTCTGTGTTTATATCTCACAATTCTGAGAATTGCACAAAAATAAGTCATAATTTTGAGGTATAAAGTCCGAATTGCTAAGAAAAAAAAGTTGCAGTTACTTTTTTTTAAATGTTTCATCCCGTTGCAGAAACAAGCTTCCATAGTTTTCTTATCAGTCTTAAAGGGGTCATATGATGCGATTTAAATTTTTCCTTTCACCAGATCGGCTTTCACTGTGGGCGAAGCCGAGTCCAGCCCGAGGTCGTCACATGTGGTTGCCGCAAGCCTCCTTCGTCGCATCCGCCAGCCGCGCCGTTCTCAAGCCCGCCGCCTCTGCTCACTCTACCCTTACCAAAATAAACACATTTCATTACACCAAATACACAAAATAATGTTGTTTTCAGCAGCATCATATGACCCCTTTAAAGGGATAATTCACTCAAAAATGAAAATTCTATCATTTACTCACTTTCAAGTTGCTCCAAACCAATATGAATTTTTCTTCTGTTGAACACAAAAGTAGATATTTTGCAGAATGTTTATAACCAAATAGTTGGTGTAGCCATCAACTTCCATATAGTATGGGGAAAAATAATAATAAAAATAAATACTACGTAAGTCAATGGCTACCAGCCACTGTTTGGTTGCCTACATTTATTTTTATATACTTCTTTTTTTTTTTTTTTTAAGCCTTTCTAATTCTTAGTGACGAGTTAGAAAAAAATAATCTAAACGTTTTTCTGCTTTCTCATATTCAATTTCGAATTAAAATGTGGGTCAAGGGAAGTCAGTCGCGGGTCAAATCAGCAGAGTGACTTTATTTGAAGCCTGCAGCGGGTCATGCAGTAGTCTGTGGATGGCTGCTGTATATCCGCACTGCTCTGCTGAGCATTTTCCAGCATGCATTGTGATAGCTTTGTTTCCTCAGTGGCAGTTTGCCCATGTGAAAACACAGAGTGCAACACGCAAAACACGTTTCCTCTTCCCTAAATTCGCAGCCCTTGAAAACAATAGCATTGCAGCACATTTCAAGAGGAGGGAAACTATTTTTAGGTTGCATGAGCCAAATGACGGCAGTCCACAGTGTTGACGTGGACAGTCTGTCAGATCTAGGCAGAGCTTCAAAAACAAGAGCTAATGGTGCAATAGCTGCTCCCTACAGAAAATAGCATTTTTCTTTTTCAACTTTAGTTTTACAGTATAATGTGCAGATAATATATGCTAACTTTCTGTATGCATGGAATACATGGATGAGCTTTTATATTCGCCAAAATGTGCAGTACCAGAGCACACTGGGCAACATATTGTATCCCACAATGCAATGCGCCTTACTTGACCTTATTATTTTTGAAGTGTACTTTTTCTGTTTGGAATTTTCAGTGTGGATTTCCACACTACTAAAATGGCTTAGAATAGTTCGTGAATTAGACTATGCCTTGAGGGAACTTTCTGAGAACTAAAAAAGCAGCAAGAAGAAGAATAAGAAGAATGAAGACTTTTAAGTGTTCATGGCAGAGTGTCACCAGCTGCTTTTGCTCCAACAAAGTTTCAGATATTAATCTAGACAGAAGTGATGAAAACAGTGCATGCACAAAAGTAAAAACAAATTAAAAAATAAAAAACAACTTCAAATATATGCACAAAAAATATGAACTTCTGAAATAAAATAAAAAAGTGCACGATAAATAGTAAAGAGTGCATTGTAATGATTCTTTTAAAAATATTTGCTCTTTGTATCTTTACTCGCAGATATTTTTAGATCTCTGTTGCTACTTTCGCATTGTTTATTTACTGCGTTACCGTTTTTTTGTGCAGCACTGAGGCCACTTTTGATTAAAGGTCCCATATTGTCAAAACTGAAATTTCCTGGCTTTTTTAACGATTACTAAGGTCTAGGGGCTATTTAACTACCATATAAGTTTCAAAACAGTCAGTCCACAGTAAACTGCACACAGCCTGCATAAAGTAGCTGTGATTTTTCACGAACCGTTGTGACTTCCGTAAAAAGTTGACGTCAGAACTACACAGTCATCGCCTTCAGTCACCAGTACCACCCCGAGCACTGCCCACAGTCCCACTCTCCTTTTGCCAAACCCCCAGACAACATCACGTCCATGCTATTGCTGAGCAATGACAACAGGGAAACTATGTGCGAGCTAAACTCAAATTTTAACTAAAAAAGTTAAAATTGTGATATAAAAAGTTGCAATACTTTTATGGCTATACAGTATGTGTATAAATAGTATTTTCTTTACCTGTAATAAAAGTTATTCCCTTTTGCACACACAATAAAAAGCTGCTTAACCTCTGAGCTGCTTCATTTTATTCCCCACAAATTGTTAAAAACAACCTTTTTTCAGCTGTTTAAATTATTTATTTTCAGAGGTGGTTCTGAGTGTTTTTTGGTGCAAGGGCCCACTCTCAATGAAATCCCTCTATCAACATATATGTATATGGAATTTTTTTCAATCTTTTATCATTGCAAGAACTTAAAGCCTGAAGTCTGATAGAAACAATATAAGCATTTCTGTGCTATTTTAAATAAATCACCAATAATTAAACAGGGATATCAAGCATGTACATTGCTCATGTCATGTAATTCAATGATTCTAAGGGCATTCATATATAGATGCTATTAGACAGTGTCCACCATACATGAACATGAAAACACAAATGCATTTTGACATTCGGTATAATCTATTAATTTATTTACTATGAAAAGGGGGCAAGATCAAAAGGGGAATGCCAGAGAAAAGGTCACTAGGATGGGTGGAGAAAGTCCTTCAATCTGGAACGGCTGTTAAAAAAGGACAAATTAGAAAAATGTAACTTTATTACAAAGAAGCATATATAAAAAAATATATAAAATGACAGGCATATTTAAGTAATAATAATAATGACAAATTTCTCAGTTATACTAAAATACTGATTGTTACGCAGCAAATGTTTGTAATGTAGTTCTTCAATCTGAAAGGTCGTTGTTCTTTATTTTGGGCTGTCAGCAGTAACTGTTAAGTTTAAAATGGCAGTTTTCAGGTTATCATGTTCAAACCGATTATCGTCCTGTTTCTAGTTTTCATTGTAATATTTCAAACTCTGGGTGTTGGTACTTTGCTCCTACAGCGGCATTTGCATAAGCCAAACTCTTGATTGACAGGTCCACTGCTGTGCTCTTGCCACTCGCATAGCTTTGCACTGTGATGTGATAGCATACTGATCGATCCGATCTCACACTGTATGGACGGCTCACAATGGAAGACTGGCATACAGCAGGATCCCAGTGTCTTAACCTCTACACACACACACACAGACAGTGAGACAGTGAGACAGAAGGAGAGTGGGAGAAGATCTGAGGAATCTCTTAAAGGCAGAGTTCACCCAAAATATAAAAGTTCATTCATAATTTATTCACCAAAATGTATGACTTTTGTTTCTTTTGTGGAATTCATGCACACATGCATTTAAATATGGTGTGTCTAGCCTCGTAGACAGACTACAATGATGAAACATGCGAGAACCAGTAATGACTTAAATTTCAGAATGTTTCTAACATACAGCTAATGTATGGAATACTTTTATGGCAGTTTTGTGGCTGTTTTATAGTTTGACATCGCTCTTCTGCTTTTGTGTGTCCCATGGAAGAAGAAAAAAAGTCATTCAGCTTTGGCTGAATGACATAAGAATACATGAATGATGACAATATTGTGGGTGAACTGCATCTTTAAATATACACAACACCAGGTAAATACATTGTAAATGAAATACATCAATAGCTCAATCACAAAGTGCCATCTGGTGGATACTTAAGACATAATAAGTCTTTACTTGCTAGACATACCCTTGTGAACAAGAAGTACACTTTAGGATACTTTTAAAAAGAGTATTTATTACGGTAATAATTTACTTTAAAAGTGCAAACTGAATGTAATTTCTCAGACACTTAATTACATGTTATTAAACAAAAACGGATTATAGTTTAAATTGATATAAAATGCAAAAGATTAATTTAAGAGTGCTTTTCTGATCCAGTTAAGTAAGATTTCTGAAAATAGGCTAATTTTCCAACTCCCCTAGAGTTAAACAGTTGAGTTTTACCGTTTTCGAATCCATTCAGCCGATCTCCGGGTCTGGCGGTATAGCAGTGTTGCCAGACGTACGATAATTATCGTATTTGTACCATAATTTTTACCTCTGTACGATGTACGATCAATAATACCATAATGTACGATAATTTCAGAATTTTGTGCCACCAAATGATAGTCGTTGTAATCATAGGGCTGTACGTCTACCTTCATGAATGTGAGGAGACTTGAACGTGTTACGCATGTCATCTCATCTCACGTCTTCTCGACCAATCATCATGGAGAATGACTCTCTCTCACAAGCACAAGTTAACGTTCCTAACGCACTTAGGTCAGTTGTTTCAAAGCTGAGGTCGATAGTTTAGCAATAAAGTATACAAATGAGTGCTGAAAAGGATAAATAGCTGTAACATCTAGATAAATAGCTGTATTCTGAACGTTTAACTCGTGTACGATAATTTTCTTCCAAATACGATAATTTTGAACTTCTGGTACGAGACTTGGACATTTCCAATCTGGCAACACTGGGCGGTAGCACTTTTAGCTGCAGCTTAGCATAGATCATTGAATCTGATTAGACCGTTAGCATCTCGCTCAATTTAAAAAGAGTATTTATTACGGTAATAATTTACTTTAAAAGTGCAAACTGAATGTAATTTCTCAGACACTTAATTACATGTTATTAAACAAAAACGGATTATAGTTTAAATTTATATAAAATGCAAAAGATTAATTAAAGAGTGCTTTTCTGATCCAGTTAAGTAAGATTTCTGAAAATAGGCTCATTTTCCAACTCCCCTAGTGTTAAACAGTTGAGTTTTACCGTTTTCGAATCCATTCAGCCGATCTCCGGGTCTGGCGGTAGCACTTTTAGCTGTGCCAGTGTTGCCAGACGTACGATAATTATCGTATTTGTACCATAATTTTGACCTCTGTACGATGTACGATCAATAATACCATAATGTACGATAATTTCAGAATTTTGTGCCACCAAATGATAGTCGTTGTAATCATAGGGCTGTACGTCTACCTTCATGAATGTGAGGAGACTTGAACGTGTTACGCATGTCATCTCATCTCACGTCTTCTCGACCAATCATCATGGAGAATGACTCTCTCTCACAAGCACAAGTTAACGTTCCTAACGCACTTAGGTCAGTTGTTTCAAAGCTGAGGTCGATAGTTTAGCAATAAAGTATACAAATGAGTGCTGAAAAGGATAAATAGCTGTAACATCTAGATAAATAGCTGTATTCTGAACGTTTAACTCGTGTACGATAATTTTCTTCCAAATACGATAATTTTGAACTTCTGGTACGAGACTTGGACATTTCCAATCTGGCAACACTGGGCGGTAGCACTTTTAGCTGCAGCTTAGCATAGATCATTGAATCTGATTAGA